ACGTAGAAGGGAAATTATAAAATAATAAAAAGAAATCATATTTGATTATGTTTTATTTTTATTATTCTATTATGATAATGCAATTTCACAACTCCGGCGTGAAACTTTACTGAGACTCAATAGGGACCTTGAAAAGAATGAGGTATTGACTGTGTTCTGGATATCGACTCTCTTTCCATCAATTTGCTGGGACTATTTGTTCAGATGCTGGGCTTTGGTGACCGTCACTTGGCGACACCCAGCCATTACGCTTACCCGTTAAAAACTTCAGCTGCGCTTCAGATTTGTCCCCAAGCAGCCATACCAACTAATTGATTATAGTTCTTTTTGAACATGTTTCACGAGCAGACACGGCGGCAGACTTTCCAGAGCCCTGTGATTGAGTTTGCCATGTTTTAATTGCTGGGCACACAGCAATGAAGTGTTCGCTAGCGTAAAGAATGCCCAACGCTCTCGCTAACTCCTGCCAGCGCGGATTGCCTGGCATGAGGAAGTGGGGCAGCACAAGTGCTGAAGAAGGGCTGTGAGGTATAGGGGGACTCAATGCTAAATCTAGAGCTCTGTGGATAGTCTGGTATGCGCACGTCAGCTGTGGCACAGAGGGAGCACGCACCAAATACGTCTCATTCCACGCGTTATCCCGGAGAATCTCTGGGGACAACTGGACTTGGTCCAAGTCATGGATTTACGTATCCAGGGGCAAGGCACACTAGTTCTGTCTCGCAGCCACTTCACAAGGGTCAGTACAATGTGTGTATTTTATCTTGCTCTTGTGATAAACGTTATCTGCATAGTGCTTTTACTTTTATAAAGTATGCATTTTGACAATGCAAGAATGATTGTTTTGTGGATTGTTCTACAATACTGCGGATACTGTCAAGTCGATAAACTTCTCATATCGTAAACCGGTTATTTTCCTTTCCGTAACCGACACGAATGCTATTAATATGTTGTATGCTTGGCAGAGTGCTGTGGAGGGTATGAGACGAGCATTAAAGCTAGAGATTAACACCCGTACAACCGTTGCCACCCTCATATGATACGTGTGTACATTTTTAACGTGCGGAGTTCTTGATCGCACGTTTAAGCAATGCCACCCTAGCCGTCTTTGTTTTTTCCGCTATTGGTTATTAGCCGCAGCGTTGGATAACGGGCACGCGGAGGTGCCCTTTGAGCTCCTGAAATTTCAGTGCCTCCGAGGCCTCAGAATTCGATTCGCTCAAACGTACAAACGTACAAAAGTTAGACGCACGCGCGAATGAATGGGACGAGGAGTCAATGAATGAATGGGCGCTCAGGTTCGCGTGCTCCGTGTAGTCGGGTGGTGATATAATACGGTGGCAGTGCTGCCTCTGAAGGGAGCCTGATTACCTTGAAACCGAGATGTTTGCAGCTGCGGTTTGCAATTGTTGGCCGTGAAGGAAAATCCAGATCCGAGCTGTAATTGTCTGCTCCCGAAAGGTGGTCAGAATTCTAAACTTGAAAGCATTTCAATAAATGATAGCATGCAAGGAAGAAAAATGCTTCTGTTGGGAGATTGTGTCGCCTCCTACACAGATGCGAACATGTTTTGCTGCATAATTAAGGGGGATAACATGCATTGTGATATGTAATGAAGTTGTAATGTAATATATTTCAAAGTACGCTACTTCATATTTCTCATGTTGAACATTTTAAATTGTAGCATATTTCTCATATTGGAATTGCAGGTGAACAAATACCTCGTGAAATACAATTCTACTTCATAGGCATTTTTGAAGTTTAAATTCAATATGATACAAAAAAAAAATTTGGCACAACCTAAATAGTTAGGTCTGTAGCATATGCTTATACATATACAGAGTAAAGTTTTATTGCAGCGTGGGTTGAGTGCTGATTAGGAGATTACAGTATTGACTTCTTGAGAAATTATCATTCCCTTCTTCAATTTCTCGAGAGTCCAATTAGCAGAGCCGAGCAAGGCGAAACTGCCAAATTAATGGTGACAAATGTCAGTTTGCTTGTATGCTGCTTTTTCACACTTAAATAATGTTGTGTTTTGGCACACATTTCGATTCAAAGCTTTCGTGACTGCAGGGATTCATCTTCTTGGTTCTTTCGGTAAAGTCACGTAGAAGGGAAGTAATAAAATAATAAAACATAATAAAATAATTCTCACGACTTTTCGGCCACAACGCAAGCAGCCGTCCTCAGGTGGAGAACAGGTTCGTCAAGTAGACAGAGTCCGGACTACTTGCCTGGAGCGTGCCATTCAGACTCTGTCTACTTGACAGACCTGTTCTCCACCTGAGGACGGCTGCTTGCGTTGTGGCCGAAACGTCGTGAGAATTATTTTATTATGTTTTATTTTGGCACACAGTTTATGATGTACATTTATACGATGATTGTTGTCATTTGTAATTTGAAACTGTTTGAAACATTTCATCATCATTGATCAAGTTTGGTTTCTCCCGCAATTAGTTGCTTATATATTTGTTCAGAGATTTGTTAAGATCATACATAAGTACATCTGTATCTCCATATTCAGCCACAAGCTCGTGTGATGTTTGGCTGTGACATGGACATTCAGTGGCCAGTATACTGTCGTAGTTTATAAAAAAAAAACTACAGCACAAATTTTACGCAGTAGCAAAAAAAGGATGCCAATGTTTTGCTTAAGTAAAGGTGGAGCGTGATAATGCATTTTTCTACAAAGCAAAGATGATAATATCCCTACAAAGAGAGCAGTGGTAATCATTGGCAAGCAAAGCGATGGAAAGCTGTTGTTGTCTTTGAGAACTGTAGTTCGCTTCTAAGTCGCTTAAACCACACCGGTCCGTGTTAAGGATACCTACAAATTAGGATAAAGAGTGTCAATGCCAAAAACTCCCAATAGCATACCTGTCAATCCATTATCCGTGCTGCCTACCTTATTACAGGCCAATTCAGACTGACACCTTCATCATCAGAGTTGTTTCTTTTTGTTTGCATTTTGACTGCTTGTGTTGTGGTTATTGCAAACATGATGCCTTGTATAAAGGTGTCAGTTTTTGTACCAGTTGAAAGGGTAAAAACCTATTACTATATTTTGCCACTGGTAAAGGAGGTCTCAGTGAGAATTGATGTTACTGAGCAAAAACTGTTTAATGTATTAATTTTGATAATTGGTGTCAATGATGCTACTTATCATGCTACTATGATCTTGCACGCTGATACGGCTGCGTGCTTGATATGTGGATGCACACACTCATGTTGTAAATGTACAACAATAATACTTTTTTTTATTTGGCCGTATTGAAACGTCTGTACGCCATATGGACCTGAAAACTCAATTTCCCTGTCCAATAATTCGGGCTAAACCGTATGGGATGACACGGTAAGCAACAGTCGAACTATGGAGTAAACTTAGCCCCTCGATTTTTAGTACAACAGTAACTATGTAATAGCAACGCAAATACAAAAGTATGGATACATTTTGCCCCGAAAGTGTCTTATACTCCATTTACATTTTCATCTTTACAGAGATTACTGCTTTATATAACTTTGCTCTTTTTGTTGTTGAACATTTTTGTTAAAATTTTGTTAAAAGACAATAATGCTGCCATCTAGTGGCATGGCTGGTGTGCTATTGCCACTGCTGCCTGTTATCATGTCGTGTTTTCATTATTATAATAACTGTGCATTTTTCAGCATTGAAAGTGGTTGCATTGCTAAGTTTAGATTAATCTGTAGAAGATCCCCACAGAGTGTGTGCTCCTTTACCATGTGTTGCCTTTTCGACCAGGAGAAAAAACAATGGTAACAAACGTTTGCTTACTTTATGACTGCATGCTGCTTGTCAGTCTATAATGGATATAAACTTGTGCTTGTGAATGTAACGGTAGAGTGACTATCTTTGGTCAAAATACAAGAACAGTGTCACCACGGTATCTCAAACAGCTGTAGTAACACCTTAGGTTTGGACAAATGTTTGGTCCTATATATAGTCCTGGGCAGTGTGACTGCTACAACCTTCCGTCCACTGACTTGGCCAGTTGCTCGATTTTGGATGGTTGGAATATACGCTACATTACTGCTTAGGGTCACCGGTGTGCTTACGTTGTCATTCGATACGATGTCCGACGTTTTATCTCCACGTTCTGGGGGCTTCTTCAGGAATTCATTCATCGTGCCAAAAAAAACACACGACGGTACAATCCGGAAACATATTTACCGTAGGTTTGGAATTTTTTTCTCGGCATTTGAAAACGATATTGTCAAGATCAACTTTAAACCGAATATTTCCTGACAATTGTATAAACAGAATAGTGTATGTAACATTTAAGGATGGATCTCTCTATTCCGTGTACATCACTTTAAAGTAGAATTACATAATGTTGAAGGTCATATTAATACAATGTCAAGCTTAAAGGGGTAATGATTTTAATAAACACCCCTTTTTACATCAGGTTAAATGAGGACACTCGTCCATTGAGATCTCGCAAAGGATAGTTTAACAGCTCAGTCCATATAGACTACTTACATTTTACCAGGCTCCTAAAAATAGGCTTGGTGTGATTTAAAGCTGGGGAGGCGGAGAGGGGGGCGGTGAGGAAGGTATCTTTGATTTTCTTTTTCTTACATGGCAGAACACTTGTGGAAATGTGGGCGAGCAATGATCTGAGCGAGGGCGAGCACACTTTGTCCCAAGAGGGCCTCATGAAATGTTGAGCTGTCCGGGGGGGGGGGGGGGGGGGAGGTGTATGTGCTCCTGCCGTTGCTGGGGTCTTCAACGACCGTTGTTTAAGTCGTGTGCCTTTGCGATTCTTTTTTTAAAGTGGCTCGTGCCCACGCGCGAAGAGGCCGACTGGGGAAGAGTCAAAAGTGGGACACACGGTTTTGGGGGGGGGCTGGTGGCACGGACTGAGCACGGCTCGATGGCTGACACATCAGCAATGGGTAATACATTGTGATGGGATGGGAAAGCCATCTGCCAGACATGTTGGAAAACAGTACATTTTTATATTGCAGATGAATTTCCATCGCGTACACGTGCAATAAATGCTTTAATGCTGGAAGCGATAAACCTGCTGTCATCGTTTAGTCGGTTAAGTGAAGTGAACTCATCGGTCATGAAGTTATTTTTTTAATTTAGATTAAAGCTTAATTGTTAAAACAGAAATTTAATACATTCATCGCAAACATTTTCATGACTCTTTAAAGTGCATGCAAAACTCGAGTTCTTTAGGAATGTAACTTAAACACAAAATATGTTGAGAGTAGAAGCAGCCTTTCAAAGATATGCGATACATAAGGTTTATAACTAAAGCCTCAGAGAGTTCATAGATTTTTTAAAGATATGATATTTCAATGTTATTACTCAGACTTCAAAGAGTTGATATATATAAAGCTAAGGAGTGGGTGTCACATCCTGCCGTTCCCTGCTTGTAACCTGCCTTGTAAACAGTGACCACCCAGTTCACGTTAATGTGCACACACACATAACAAAAATACAACAACACCCGCCACTCGCAACTAAGTGGCAGTGACGTCACCACGACGCCTGTGCCAGGCAAGGTGCACTTTGAGGCCACGTAGAGTGTCGAAGGCTCGGTGACAGGAGTCAGGGGACAGACCCAGGTGCTGTGGGTTGACTGACTGAGATGACTGGCAGATGCACCAGCTCTGCCCCTGACTGTGCCATCTTGCTGTATTTTATCCGCCCGGCACTCCGCTCGTTGTTGTGTCGCTCCTCTGCCCTCCGTTGTTGTTGGGCGACTGGAGCCTCCAGTCGCCCTCTGACAAAAATACGCACACAAATGGACACGCACATGCAAAATACAAAATTGGAAAACACATCGCAATCATCGCCTCTTCTGCAAAAACTTGGCAGCATCTACCCTAAAGAGATATATGAGACTTAGGCTCTCCTTAGCAGTGATGATAATAATAACACAGACAAAGACAAGAACCCCCCCGGATGTTGTGGAAATTTGCTGTTGATGTAAATATGGAATGAACACGTTTATATATATATACACGCATGCACACACAGGCAAGTATTCAGGCATCATTATTCAGTGTTTTCCCTTCAGTGATTTCTTGACTCACAGGAGATGAATTGTGCACAAGATAAAAAAAAACGTTGAAAGGTCACCATTTAGTGATATACCACGAAGAATGCATTTGAAATGAATTGCTGAGTGGTATGTTTGTTATGATGGAAGGGGTGGCTTGGTTGAGTCATGGATGTTAACAAGATGACTCGGAGGGACCCTATTGAATTGCCAGAAAGAAACAATTTAAAACTGAACAGCTGTTGCTGTTTAGTCACAACGGATTTCAAAATCGGTTATTCATGGAATTATTTTATGTGGCGGTTAAAAAAAAAACAACGGCACTTTTTTTTTTGGCGATTCGCCGTTGTGTTGTACATATGAAACGGCTACCTTCAAAAGTTGGCACATTGGAAGCACAGCGTTGCCAAAGCCGAACTAATTGTCGTGTGGCACCCTGGTGGCTGAGCGGAAAAAGTGAAGCAAACTAATGCAAAAACGTTCAACACCTAAGCAAACACAAAGCATTTACACTTGAGTCTGCTGACTTTATTTTCCATAAACAGGAATTTAGACGTTTTGATTATAAAAAAAACCCATATGACTCTGGTTTAATGTAATGGTCCAACGGATTACGATAAATCATTTGTAAACAGTGTGTGTATTAGAGTTGATGGTCATCATGGCAATGTGGCTGACATTTCCTTCCAAATAGAGATGATAAATGTAAATGCGTGCCGCATGTCTGCAAGTATAAAATTGTCGTTACTGAGAAAACCAGTTTGTCAAGTCGTTTGTGTGTATATGACTTTGCCTCCTCAACGCCCACAAAATTTGGCACATCTCATAAAAAATTACGTACACCCCTTTTACAATCGACTGCTGGAGCATGGAGGGGGTGTTTGACCATATTTCATGCTGGTAAATGATATACACTAAACTTTTTATTTCACCAGGTAAGGCCCACTGAGCTAGCTATACAGCTCTTTTTCAGAAACGACCTGGCCCACAAATGATAGCTCAACAAAGTGGCTTATCGCGTGGAAATTTATTGCAGCCAAATACTCTAAACGCGTGTTGATTCGAAATGTGGATGGATAAAACTAGAGCACCCAGAGAAAAATCCACGCGACCACGGGGAGAGAGACACGCAAACTCCCAAGTATACAGTTGGCATCGTCAGGGTCGGGATCGACCCTATGCCCTCCTGCCTACCAGGTGAGTTAATTAGCATCTCGCCACCGTTGCGTGCCTATGGGTTGATGAAGAAGGGGCCCAGGACAGGTTCAGATACCACGCTGTGAGCCGTGGCCAGAAAGCGAACTCGGGACACTTGGCTCATAGAGGAGTGCACAAACCATTGTCCAAACCCCTCACCCCCACCCCTCCACGTCTTCATATAAATACATAAACACAGGTTGTTTGTCGAGCAATGCAGAATTACTGCAATACTTCATGCTGGTAAATATGAGTCGATAAATAACAGTAATACCGGTTATGTTAAATCACGTATTTGTGGCATACGTTTATGAACCTTCCATGAATACAATACTGTGCATAGTTCTGTATTTTCTTGATTGAAATATTTTACTTGGTTGTCTTGGTGCAAGGGTGGTCCATATACATGTGTTCATTTACTTTATTGACATTAACTTTAGTGAACTAAACAGATTTTCCGCAATATTCTACTGCAAAGAAAGCAAAATTAATCATTTAGAAGCTACATCAACCACTCCCCCCCAAATAACATACATGCATGTATTTCAGCATTCATTCAAACAAGTGAGATAACATCTTTACACGATAAATAAACAGACAATATACCTATTTCTCGTATATGTATATAGCCATCTCTCCACAGAAAAATAAAACGTGTTTTTTCATGACCCATCAGCCACAAGGTCATCTAGTAGGAGTGCATAATTTCAGCAGCAGTGATTCAGGACTAAACTATTTAAAAATGTGGAGGGAAAATCGGAGGACCCGGAGAAAAATCCACACGACCATGGCCAGAGAGATACACAAACTCCAAATATACAGCAGCAGGCGTCAGGGTCGTGATCAAACCAACGATCTTCTGCATACCAGGCTAAGTAGTCAACATCTCGCCACCACGGCACGATGAGACATGAAGTGTCTCATAAGCAGTCAAGCTTGCCCGAATCAATGCCGGTGAACTGCCAAATCCTACAGGCAAGGACCCACTCTCTTTCCAATATTGGGTCCTAAGGTCATACTCTTAGTTCTTTCGGTAAAGTCACGTAGGTAAAACTGAAATTAAAATTAATAAAAATTAAATAAAAATCACGACGTTTCGGAGGCAACACAAGTCTCCGTCATCAGGTGGGACCGTCACAGCCAGATTTGCTGCATCATTTTATTAATTTTAATTTCATTTTTTACCTACGTGACTTTACCGAAAGAACTAAGAGTATGAATCGTTGCAGTCACGAAAGCTTCAAATCTACAATCCTAAGGTCATCTTAAAGTGACATTTTTTTTATTGAAGTCGCCACAGTTGGCTGTAATCCTATAAGGTGAGCCGCGCCCCCAGCCAGCCCTATCCCTTGTCAGCCGGCGGGAGACTCCCTGCCGTGGTGGTGGAGTGGGGTGGGGTGGATGGCGCTGCTGTCTCTTGTTGCCTCGCAAGCTTCCTGACCCGCCTCCCGTGCCCCGTACACGCCGTGCCCTGCCGCAGGCTTGCCGGTGGGCTGCTGGCTCCTCGTTGTGTCGCTTCATTCTCGGCAAGTTGCCGCCAGGGATCGAGGAACTCTCACGCGAGCACTCTGGTCCCTGGGGGGGGGGTGGATGGACTTTGACTTTGCATTTTGTTTCCAAGTACAAATTCGGTGCTGTTTGAAGTTTTTTTTTTGCAGGTGTATATATTTTTTTTATGTCATAGTTTGAGTGTTGTTTTAACTGCCATTCGTGTAGCCTCGATTTTTCGAGTTGATTTATATTTGCGCTGCTTATGTGCTCGCATGCGTCGGCGTCATCTGATGTTTGACGGAGAACTTCACAACAGCTCTATTACGCTGGTGCAGTGGATGAGGGTACACACTGGTGGTCTTACAAAATGCGTAGTCCAAGTTTGTTTATATGACATATAATAGCTCGCTTTCGTGACTTAATACACACCCACGCACACATTCGCGATGGCAAGCGTGGAGCTGACTGACGGACGCATTAGAGGTACGCAAAAAATGTGGAATGCAAAGCCATGGAGACATTGTTTACTTTGACTTTTATTCACGTTTCCACCTCCCTCTTGTTTCATATCTCGGTTGCAGATCTACACCGACTGGGCCAACCACTACTTGGCAAAGTCGGGTCACAAGCGACTGATCCGAGACCTTCAACAAGACGTCAGTGATGGTGTTTTGCTGGCGGAGATTATCCAAGTTGTGGGTAAGTGTTGGCTGCTTTGTTACCCAGTCCTGGCTCTCTAGGGCTACGTAACATCGTCTGTCACGGCATTCTGTGGGAGGTTGACGTTAAGCCTGTCTGCCGTGACAGACAACATGTTGACTCTAACCGTTCGCTGAACTTTGATGGCTCTTGTTCCCCTGTTTTGTGTGTGGGCTGCTTCGTCGTAGATCTGTCGCCTGATCAGTTTAACACGTAGGCTTTCACGAACAATATCATCCATAATAGAGTTTTTTTGGGGGGGTTAAATCGTGTAAATATATAAATGTGTCGTTAAAATCCGCCACCACCCGACACAGCCAACTAGTAAGGGTTGTCACGTAAACAGAACGTGCCAATTCGTCACTAGTACAGCACTACACCGGTGTGTTGGAAAGCCAAGCCACAACATTTACAATCTGAGTACGACGTTTCGCCAGTAATTACAACAAGCTTCATCAGGCGGTGAATCTGGCTGTCGCGTGATTTTGGGACAACTTCGAGCAACGGTGTTTTGTATTTCTCGTCTGCGGTTTGAAGCGCTTTGAGATGCCGTTTCAGTATTTAAAATTACGTGATGAATGTAAATCTTTATAGATATCCTAGCAATCACACCAAATGCAGGCCTCGATGTTCACCAGTGCCGTGGTCAAGTGTTAGGGTTTTGATCTTTCAGGATAGTTTTTATCGCTAACCACAACACTTTTTAAGTGTGCATTTACCACTGTAAGTAATGTGCACTCAGGATTGAACTTCACAGAAGAAGAGCAGGGTGCATGGTTACATAATAGCTTGCTGAATTTTTGGCAGGTGTACTGATCATGTCCAAGTATTCTTCCTCAGGCACGCACACACACGTTTACTTCTTTAAAGGAGTTAAATAAATAACCGACAAAACCCACAACTTTTGGAAACTTGTCTTGTTTCGTGAACAATGTACACCGTGCTTACCATGTTGTCTCCCCCAAAGTCCCTTCATGTTTATCTCTGATTATGTGTAAGCACTCATCTGTTATTTTTTTTTCGACGCATGTTTAGTGTTTTGTTGGGGGTCTGGTTTCATTGTGCCAAGTGTGCTGCACTGCAACCCTGGCTACCTGATTTCGATACCCAGCCACAGCCAACATCAGTGGAGGATTAAACTAAACTATATATTTTTTTATTTTACGAGGTAAAATCCCACTGAGCTATGCAGTTATTTTTCATAAGCAATCTGGCCACAAGCGATAGTTCAACGAAGTGGCTTATCATGTGGAAATGTACAGCAGCCAAATACTCTAAACGCATGTTTCTAAATGTGGAGAACATGCACGCTAGAAAATATACGGGCATCGTAAGGCTTTTGGATCGAACCCACAACCTCCTCTATACCAGGTGTGTAAGTTAGCATCTCGCCACCGTGCTATCAGAACTTGAGCTGTGCCTCCACTTGATTATGCTTTAAATATCAGGACCTGGTGCAATGTGTAAACATCTGCGCTGGAAAGAGAACGGTGGCTCTGCGTATTGCTACCCACACTGCCCCCTCTTGCTGTCAGAGCTTCTATAGATTCTCGCAAACAGCACTTGAAACCACCAATGTTTTAAAGGTTATACAGGGTATTCTTGTGTTGGTTGCACCACCACACCTGTGCCCGGGTGTTGTATGATAAACAGGTATTGGACTAATCTGTCATTGTTATTATTGCGTGCATGCTACTGTATTGCATACACATTTACTTTATCGAACTTTGAGGCCACAAAAACAGCTATACTTCATTTTAGATACATGAGGACTTCATTTATGTAATTCAGAGAAACAGTTAACTTCTGTATATGAAATGAAAATATTAGCTATAAAGAATATTATTGCAAAAATATATGTATCGTTAATGTAAAACAGTACTTTTCCCACAGAATTAAACCAAGTCTAGCTGAGAGCAAGCATTCATTATTGGTATATATATATATATTTCCCCTTCTACGTTCATGTAAGTTATAAAATAAATCATAAATTCACATGTAAAAGTATGCCGGGGGTCAATGATGTTGGTTTTTGTAATGGGCTGGATTTGGCAGTCAATATTAGTCATGCGGGGGCGAACATAAGGGATACATTATGAATATCAAAATCAAAGAAAAAATTCAAGCAGTTTAAAAAAGTTGGCCTTTTACTGGCCACTCGAAAAAAAAAATCACAATTTGGCAGAAGGCAATTGTGGTGTTGCAGCAGCAACAGCGTTAGGGGGTGGAAAAGAGAAGTGCGTTAGTGACCTGTGGGTTTCCTTGATCTCTCAACGTCTCTCCACTCAAAAAAAGCAACGCAGCCCAACCTGGCCAGTCAGATGGTGTGAGCGCTGGGGGGGGGGGGGGGGGGATTGGGAAACTTACGCTCGGCAAACGTTCGCCAGAAAAGCGGCGGCTTGGATGGGTGGCAAAACGCGCGAGGTGGGAGTCCGGGCTTGGGTTGGAGGACGCCAAAGGAGCTAGGGAGGGGTTTTGTTAGGGAGGGGTTTTGTTTGAGGGGGAGGAATGGAGAGACAGCGATGGGGTGGCTCACATTCACACGCAACTCCTTTTGTCAGACGGAGGGGAGGGGAGCCACAGGGGCTGTGTGTGCTTTATTTATTTCATTAACTCGCCCCTAATAATAAGGTCAGCCAGAGAAAAAGTGCTAAAGTGTGGCTATTTCTGCCGGTGCACATGGAGCCTGTTACAGCTAAATGCTCCTGTGTGCCGCAGGCAACAATTGGAAGCTGAATGCAATGAAGGCTACCCTAGACGATCCCTAGAGATGCGATTAATGTTATGTGGAACTAAAAATTGAACGAACAGCGCTTGATATTTGAACAGCCCCAGAACGGATGTTTACTAAGTAAATAAATAATACAGTCAGCTACTAAAAAAACTATTTTTTTTCTTTTCCACATAAACCACTTGGTCGATTAAATGCAACCTTGTCATTTTCCTTTTTTAGCCAATGAGAAGATTGAAAACATCAACGGCTGCCCAAGGAGCCAGGCTCAGATGGTGAGTTAATCCACCTGAATTTCCCTGACAGTATAGACTATAGAGGAAGCTCTTTGGCTATGGGGTAAGTGCCAATGTGCATGTCTCTGTTTGAAGGAATCGGCAGAAAAAGTTGAATCTGGAAAATGTGAATAATGCTCTCTGTCTTTACTGTGTGTGGGAAATGCACTTCCCATCAGGGACACGCTGGCAATGATCTGCTTCAATACGAAAAGCAGTGCATTTTTTATTGGGATAAATCCTTATTGAGGACATCGCAGAATAAGTGTGCATTTATCATACAATGCTCACATTCAGCTTTGTAATACTTTGTAACGGAGCGACCAAGACACAGCCTGGAATGCATTTCTGGAATTAGGCTCCCAACGGCAACTTTGTCGGAAAGTCCACCAGGCGTACAACTTTACCTCCAAAACTTTATTGGCTGGAAGCTAAAGCATCTCTGGGCCTGGCAGCGTGCATTCAGACACGGGGAAAAAAACCCAGATCCCTTTGAAATGAGTAGGAATAACGGGTCTTCGACATAGCAGCAAGGCTCAACTCTGCTGCAGCAAGCTGTCAGAAGAGACGGAGAAAGTGTTTGTCGCAGCGTTTATTTCCCGATTAGGGGAACTAACGATTTGCATTTGCAAGCTTCAGTCGTGAAGGTATGTGCGGAGTGGGTGTTTTATCTGAGCTATGAATTCAACTTGATGCTTTGAGAATTTTGAGAATGTGTTGGTTTATGTTTGAATGTCTCCGAAGGTTTATAATAACAGATTGTGATATTTTGACACTTACATTCTTTCGTTTGATAGTGTAGATTTAAACCTTTTTTTATTTTACAGTACGTTTTTTTTTTAAATATACAGTAACGAACTGGAAATAACTTTCATACTTCTAATAGCTGGCTATATATGCCCGCAGTACTGTAATTGGATGCCGAAGACGTTTATCAACGTAAATCGATGCCTTTCAGCCTAAAACTTGCATAATTATGTTGGTGTAAGTGTAGATTAACACAGCATATGACCGTTAAAGGAATTGTCTTGATTGCTTAGCTCTTTTGAGTATAAACCAGCTGTTTTCAAATCACTCAGCTTTCGCTGAGTCTGCCAGCAACTTGATTCTCTCCGCTGGTTACGGTGCTGTGAACATTTCCTGGGGTATTTTTGTCCTGCAGTTTTACAGATTGCCATTCCACCGCAGTTCACGCACGTCTGTTTACCCATTGAGTGTTTCTTTTCAGAAATAAACTTGAGAAGGCAAAGCAGGAGAAATATTTGAAGTATCTAAGGCACCACAACTGGTTGCATAGCAGAGATGCCTGCTGAGGACTATTTAAGAACCATGTAGGGATTTCATAAGTGCTTCTCATAATTATAAAAGGAAATTAAACATTGCTTTTGAATTCCTAGAGAATTTAGCATGACTAGGATTTGTTTTCGTCCGATTATTTTTAGATTGTCACGGTTATTGTCTTCTGCCTTATTTGATCAATTTCTACGTTTGAACTGTGTTACAAAACCAAATACCACCACGGTCTCGAAAGAGCTCACATCAGCAATCAGAAAATCTAACAGAGAAGGCATCTTCTAAAGCAAGATGCACTAAATGTACCATTTTAAAACAAACCCACGTCAACTGTGTACAGCATAACGTCGCATATCCGACCCGCTGAGGACTGAGGTATAGGCGATTTTAGTGAAATGGTTGGATATGTGAACATCTACACAGCTACCCCATACACAAACACTACACTGCAGTTAATTGGTCAGAGCGGATATGTGATTGTTGTATATCTGTGGCTGCACTGTAGGCCTTGTAACAGTAGTGATCCCAAAATGACTACCTTTGCTTTTACATGTTTGTTGAGTTAAATGTGAGCGCAGCAGAGTTAAGCACTTTCTAGTGTCTACCACCTCGCTATTAGGTCACCAAAGAAACAAAATTTGGCTTCCAACTAATAGGGTAATTGAACTATACATATATATAAATAATGATGATGTGCTAACGCACTGGTGTCAATTTCCTCCTGCTTGAATATCATCAGTTGCTTTTTAAATCCTTTACATTAAGTTCACTTGCTTGCTTGCTTACGACCGTGCAAATCTTTCGGTCGTTTTTTAACCCACTTCCCGTGATCCAATCGAGCTGACATTTTGCACACAGACTCGTTGTGCGAGACAATTAATGTTCGTGAAAATTTTACACTGTTTAGGGAAAACAAATTAAATATTTAATTACCAATTGCTTAATACTGGCAGACAATCATCTGACCCATAGGTGGCTAGCCATCTCAAGCCAGAGGATGAGAGGACTCTAGCCGCCACGCATATAAAGGATTTATAGTGAAAAACTTTGTTTTTGCGGGTTATACTTGTTATTCCTTCTTCGTTTGGCCGGAAATACAGACTTTCTGCTTCACTGCAGAGATTTCCATTTCTTCTGTCACCTCATTTTCCCCACAGAGAGAGTTCCGCAGACCGTCATCTAAGCAAAATCAAGTGACAACTGTGTTCTTGGTTCTTTTGATAAAGTCACGTAGATTGAAAATAAAAATAAAATTTAAAAAAACCCACGACGTTTCGATCACAACACATGAAGACCGCTTGTGTTGCGATCGAAACGCCGTGGTTTTTTTTTTTACTTTCTTTTTATTTTCTATTTACGTGACTTTACCGAAAGAACCAAGAATATGAATTCCTGCAGTCACGAAAGTTTTAAGTCAAAATTCAAGCGACAACTGCTTTTGATAATCGCCAGCGTGGTCTGTGGGCTAGTCGTGGAAGTACGCTGCAATTTGCACTTAGCGGTTGTGACCATGGGCTTAGATCAACAGGATGTACTGCACAAATGATTGAAAACCACGTACGTAGGTTGTAAAATAATCATGTAAATTATGTTTGGCAAACAACAAACATACCAACAAACATATGTATGAGGCACTTAGGAGGAAGATATCATCTCCTCGTGATTAAAACGCATATTTTCCCATCAAATGATGTATAACCACTTTCATTCAATTAATTTACATAATTTAGGTTTGTGATTTGATTCAGGAATGGATTTTTTTTTACATTGTGGTAAATGTAGCAACCTCTCCTGACTGAAGGTGTGACGTGGACCTGTTACATACAGCATATACAAATTAAAAAAACATTGATTCTTACACACGTAATTCAATGCTTGAATCGTGAGCTTCAGCATCCATATAGAATCGACCAATCTACGCATTATTCACACCCTTATTTTCCACCAATAACACTAGAGTAATGTTATTTTTCTGATAACAAGACCCTCGTTACGTGCACCACACAATAATACATCTGTAGCGAATCCTAACGATTGCCATGTTTCGGATTGGCAGGGTTAGGATTAGGCAAATCGTTTGTCACGTGTTCATCACCCGGCAATGCGGTAATGAAGCAGCTGAGCCGCAGCTTTTCACGTGAGATGTGGTTTTGTGAAGAGCTGTCAGTGTGAATGTTGCTCCTTTGCAAGCTAATCTAGCCTCGCCAAATCGAGTCCGAGGAACATGCCACCTGTCACTACCAATCAACGTGTTTATAACATACAAGGTGCTCACCAGAGGTCATTTCCTGTCTTTGATGTTCAAAGCAGCCCTTAATGCGATGCTATTTTGCCCATAATTGGTCGTAGAGCCTTGATCACTTTTAAGGTGGAATATAATGCATCTCGAGCTCAGCTTGTTTGATCAGATGTCTCGATATTGATGGTTGTCTTTTATAATTAATCGCGTGAGTGATGCGATTTGAAATCAATTATTAGAGCTATCTTGCACAAAATTGAACGCGTAAATAAGCACTCCGTCGTTCCTAATTGGGAATTAGATTAGTATTCCTCTGACACGTTCCTGTATTTAATTTAGGCTTTCGCATAATCTATCAATAACCAGCATATCCATTACCCAAATTATGACTTAAATAAAGATAATACAATTTTCAGCGTGGGCTCCATGGAGGACAAGATAGATTTACAGCATTTATCTTTTTCATATACAGTACCAGAGCAAATCCCAGAGCAGCTGTGAGCAAATTTAATTTACAATTTCTTCACGTATTGTCACTTGCACTTATAAAAAAAATGGTTCCGAGGTAAATATTTTACTTTTTTTAATGTAACACATGTAAACACCAGTGTGTGTTGCAAGTAAACGTTGTGCGTACACTAATTAATGCAAATGTTAACCTTAATATCATTATTATTGTATTAGGTGCACATTGTGTGCAGTAAAGTGTACATAACAACATAACGTTGACTCGGGCAGTATAGGCCAACACCTTTCAATACCATACCATATTCTCTTTTACAAGGTGCTGTAGTGTCGTATTTATTTGAACATATTAGGCTACGTTTTTTTCTACCTTGATTCACCATGGTGTTTTGAAACTATCTTGATAAACAATCACCTTCAAAACCATCAATATTGCTTGTATTATTATTATTGTAATTATTATCATTATTTCCCTGTTGTAGCAGACACACTCGTGTGTGATCTGCGTCGTGCCAGTTTCGAAATGTCCACGAAAGGGTGAATTGTCTGAAAGCTCCATATTTATTGTTTCTCTTATAAATCTTGCATTCGACTCCCTGAATGTGTCACCTAAAAGCAAACGCAATTTATTACACTTTGAATCTCCAGACTGTTTATTTGAAGAAGGAATTTAGAAAAAGTATTTTACCGTTTAAAAGTTAGAATAAGAAAAAAACAATCTTGAATTTAAAGAAATCCTATAAAAAAGGGGATTCCGTTATTTTAATTCCCACTGTTTAGTGTTTATTGTGACAGCTGCGGATTTACGGTGTGAGTCAGCACTAAAAGTCATCCGCCCAAATATTTCGCCTTAAACAGGAAGTTTTGAGCGGAACGCTAGGTATGGCCTTGTTGCTTTTGGCGAGATGGCAGGACGGAGTTCCGTTTCGCTTTGTAAAACCTAAATAAGGCCAAATGCGTGGGAACAGGATGTTTTCCATCAGCCCTGCTCAATTGACATTCGGAGGAAATGCTAAGCGAGTGCAGTAGAGAGAGAGAGAGAGAGAAAAAAAGGTGAGTACAGTGAAAATTCAACTTGAATGTGTTGCTCGTTTGAAGTGCAATGAGAATGGATGATTTCGGTACATATCGGTGTGCTTGTATTGATGTCTATGCAGCGTAGTGTACGGCGTAATAAAATTAATTGTCCTGCACAGAGAGTAGGAAGGCTGTTAAAGTGGGCAGTAGCTAGACCTCAGGTTGAGTCCTGTAAAAACCTTGACACTTCAAGGACAACACCCTTCTGTGTGTGTGTATATAGTTTCTACAATGGGTATCTTTTATGTATTTTTTTCGCATTGGGTTGTGTTATTTTACATGCTCAAAATCACACTAAATTTTCTTTTAGTTTGATAAAGTTGTCTTCTTTTACCGTATTTAATCATCATATCACCTAGTATTCTTATATACAATTTACCTTGGCCGGAATGTGGCGTATTTCATACCGATCTTGTGAGCTCTGATTATTTTTCACACTTACAAAAAGGCTATTTCTATGAGCAGGGTTATTTCTCGGAATATACAAAGTGATATTCACTGGCAAACGCCGGTACAGTATTTTATAACCTCAGCTACACTTCATTACTTAAGAGTTTGTTGCAACTTCAAAGGGATTTTTTGAATTGTCTATTGGGTATGATTGGCTGCAGTGTGGTTTCCAGCTGGGGAAAGCTAAAATCATGCAAGGTTGCAGTACAAGTTGGGGGGTTGGTCATGGCAACTGCAATCACAAGTGTTGTCAGGGGTCTGATATGGTCAAACGTGGGCTTACATGCCTTTAAAAGGCGAGAGTGTCCAGATTACAATACTGTATATAGCAATCGCAAGCTCATCTCCATAGCCATCAGTTAAGCTCCACTCCTAGCCACCCGGGTAATTTGTTGCCAGGTACATTATCTACAACGACCTACGTGTCAAAGGGCATGTCGATCTGCATTCCATAGTTTGGCAAACAGAAAAGATACTGTGACAATTTTTGGTAAGAGAGACCATATTTTGGCAGTAACTTGGCCAAAATTGGCTCCGATGTAAAAATAAAAACCCACCCCAATAGATGGTCACAGGACCTCTTTCATAGGTTCATCCAGGTCTTCAAGAGATTGTATGAGGTTTAATAACTATTTTCTAGGTTAGATCGTGCAAGAAGTATAAAGCCAATTGGTGTTGGACACCCTCCTGCTACCTGACACAGTCCAACAAATCCAGTTGTTACGTGATCCTCATGGCGGTACCCTGGGGTATCAAATAATACAAAAATGCCGAGGAAATTAAATATGTTATTTCTGGGACACTATTTTTTCCAGGGGTGTACTTAACTCCGTGACTGGGGTACCAATCATTCCAAAATCAGTGCTACTCCGCGATGTCAAAACGCAGCGAGGACGATTGCGCTGAAACCCTGAACGCTCGTACACACCGTAGTGGTGCATATTGTACAGCTCGTCGAGATGAGTCGATTGCCGCATCGCCGACCATCAACAGACTAAAAATGACTGCATCACGGACATTATGCGAGAGCCGGGGTACTACCATGAGGTTCATATGAACAAAACATGCCAGTCGATGTTGTTTTCAGCAAAGCAATACGCTGAAAGGCAACCGGTGCATAATTGTGACTATTAATATACGTTTCGTTTAAAATTACACCCAGTATCATGAGGCGATCACCAGGGTGGTGCTCAGCAAGTGATTGCATATCCTGACCCCAGACCTTAGCCAAGCAGGGTAAACGGAAGTTAACGTGTACGTGATAATGTTACATCATCATTATCCATTTCTATCGTGATTCGTTTATAAGTTGTCAACCGCCATAATTATATTGTGTTGTCGCGGTTATTAATAATACTGAGAAGATTTCGGTGCCCTTACAGGCCCTCATCTCTTAGGTCCTGCAGAGGATTTGGGGGCCTTCGGACTTCAATTCGAACCTATGAATGATAATTAGTACAATCTAAACTACTCTCAGTAAGAAATGAATGTACATTACCGTGAAGGTGTTTTGTATTTAAAAAAACAACTTATTAACCATTCTTAATGCGATAACAGTGTCACAAAACAGTTCCCTAGCGTAAGAGTGCTAAGTTGACAGTACTGAACATTTTTACCAAAATTGACGCAAATTAAAAAAAAAATATTCCAAATAAATTGTTCTCACCTTGTCTTCTTCCTTCCTCTGCTTAAGTGACTTTACCTCTCGAAAATAAAACCCACCGGCTCGCTGCACCGCAGAAACATCGCTGTTCAGACGTGTTGTGAGTTGGGTCGTACCATCGACGTAGTCAACGTGCGTGGCAAAACGAACTGTCGGAAACCCGAATGGAATGTTTCCTCAAGTTTTAATTAAACATTTTTACTGACATTTAAAAATACATAAGATCAATAGTTCCATGATTATCACGGCGCGAAATAACTTCAGCATAAGTACTGTAATTTCGCGTACATGCAAATGTTACGCGCTCAAAAAAATGGGCTTTTAAACAAAAATCCGGACAGCCAGAGACAAACTCGCACTTGCTCCATTATAGTATCGATGATGACGATGATTCGAGGAGTGTTTAGATGCCGACGACTGGTACCAACGGTGTCAAGATCAGCCTCTGTGGAGGAGGCTCCTAAAGGACGCCGCTACTGGACAGTTGGAGGCAGTCGTCCTCCAGCAGAGGAGCGACGCTCACAACAATTAGTGGAGCACCGGGCGGATAAAATGAAGCAAAGTGGCACAGTGGGGGGGGGGGGGGGTACAGCTGGTGGTGCATCTACCGGTCATCTCAGTCAGCCAACCCATAGCACCTGCTAGGTCTGTCCCGAGACCTCCTGCCAGCAGCGAGCCTTCGACACTTCACGTGGTGGCCTCAAAGTGCACCTAGCCTGGCACAGGCGCCGTGGTGACTCCACCGTCACTTAGTGGCGTATGGCGGGGTATTGGTGTTGGTTTATATAATGAGGCAATCTGCCAGCCACGTGAACCGGAAGTTAAAGTAATTCATTACATTAAAATTATCAATTATGTCACGTTTCATGAGTGTGCCGTGAAACATCCAAACGTTGTTCAAGGATATTCGTAATTTCAGAAGTGGGTTCGTATACATCTTGGTGTTAGCGGAAGCGGTGTGACTAATGTAGCAGGTTTAACTTCACGTTACATTTATTTCTGAACAATCCGTTCTCCGAGCTGTGATGCTCGGGCTGTAGCTGTCGGCTCGGTTGAAGTTACACGGGCTTCTCTGCATCATATTTGGCTCGGGAGTGCTTTAGTCTTGAGCCAAAAATGATGAACATTGCATAATACTTGGACATTGTCAAAGTCAACCACATACCCCTCCTCCTCCGCCTCCTGCCAGCCATGTACCAACGTTTGTTTGGCCATTTTTACCGTTTCTTTGATTGTTCCCTGAACCGGGTGTTATTCATCTTACGTCCTGCACGACCAATATACTGTAACACTTATGCGGATTATTTACCAATACCCGCCCCCCCAGACACACACAAAAGCTTACACAGTAAAGGAAGGCCTAAGCAAGTTCGACTCGCTTATTAAATACTGGAGGAGATTATAAATCGGAAGGATTTTTTTTAGAGCATGCTTAAATAATGCCCAATACTTCTTATGTATAATTACTCGTTCTGTAAAGTTGTGGCTGAGGTTGCTTTACTCCCAAGAGGATAAGGAAATGTGTGACTCATCAGGTCCATTCTTTGTAATTGGATGTTGTGGAAAATCGACAGTTAGTCATCAGCACAGCATTGCTCAGATAAGGAGCATAAATACCACCCCATCCATTTGCTGTTTGTCCCCTTGCTTATTCATCAGTGATTAATGCGACAGGCGCATTTCAGTTTCAATCTTATTGTATTTATTTTCAGTGGAAGGTTGCATTATTTGAGTGTGTAAATCACTTCACGTTTCAATGCAAAGTGTTTTATTTTAAACTTGTAGACTTCACGTCTGCTTGCCAACTCGGGTGTTTTGTTCTTATGCCACTGTGACGAGTGTTATTGTATTAAATGTGCAGTGCCACCAGAGTTTAAGTATGATATGGATACTACAATTTCCACTCCTTGGTATTGTTTTGTTATGAGACAGGTTGTCATTCATCTCATGATTGTTAAATTGCTGAAGTCTTGCATACAAATTGATGTGCAAACTGGGACCTCTTTTGCCAGTAAATGTATGTGCCTTTACTGCTGTCGATATGCCCCTTATCCAATTTATGTAAGAATACAATGGATTCATATTATTTGGGTCTTTCGGTAAATTCACGTAGATAGAACAATAAAACGATTGCTTCTGTTGCGATCGAAACGTCGTGATATTTTTATCTTTTATTCACTTTATTTTCATTTTTATTATTGTATTGTTCTATCTACATGACTTTACCGAAAGACACAAAGACTATGAATTCCTACAGTCACGGAAGCTTTAAGTCAATACAATGGATTGTTTAAGGTGTATTGAATGTTATATAACCCGTATGAGACTATATGTGTAGCATATTCACCTCAAAGTTTAAAACAAATATTACGAAGCCAACTTTGCGTGCAATTTTTAAATGGGTAAGCTGTGCCAGAATGCCAAATTGTGTGCACATTGCAGTGCAATTTCACCTACTAAGTTGTCACTCGAGAGAGAAAAAACCCATTCGCCCCTCGATTTAGAAGCTAATCTCTGGACATTAAAAGCATTTGTTTGATCATAAACCAGCGTTATTCCTTTATTGCCATTTTTGACATCGCAGACATCACACGGTAAAAGTTAAAATGAAAGGGGATTTCAGTGAAAACATTCGAAGGCTTTGTAACGTCTGAAACAAGTCCTCGGGGGCATTGTACTGTATGGCTTTTCCCCTTGATCCACCGCGCACTGAAGAATTACAGGCCACTTGCGGACCCCGTTGTATAAACAGGGCAGCATTGCCGCCAGTGGGATCGTGCGTCTTGCTTTTCCTCCCGTCCGTCTTCCTCTGCTTTGCTTTGCGCGTCGAGGCGAGGCCACGTCCAAGCTTGTGGGGGTGGCGGTGCGGGTTGGTTTGTGTGCAGCTGTTGCTCCCTCCTCTCCCCACCCCCAAATTTGACCCAACCCAACGTTTTGCCCTTGGGGTTTTTTTAAATTTCTTTCACAGTTTCAAAATAAACGTGCGAGGCAACGTCACAAGGAACCACGTGCCCAGCCAACCCTGCCCAGAGCTTGCGTGCCAGGGACCTTTAGCAATTCCACTGCCACGCACTCTCTCTCTCTCCGTCTGCCCTCCGCTGATCAATGTGAATTCATATTTGGCGGCACGATCATCCTGGGGAGACATTGTAAAATGATGTTACGACCTTTACTTTATTGATGTTGTATACAATTTACAGGACAACATTGGGGCGATGCAGTTTTGTTGAGCATTTGTCAGAATAATAAAATGGATAAGGTGCAGCGCCTACAATTGCTTGCTCACACCACTGTTGCTAGAAAGACCTCCGCTAGAAGAAGCTCATAGAGAGTGTTTTGGCCTACTCTTCCACGCTGTCTTCGCATCTTGCGAATAGGTGGGAGTACCCACACTCTACCTTATCATACTGTGGTGCACGCATTTATGCTGCTGGATGGACAGAGGCTAGACATTTAAGAAGCGTGCCCAAGTGTTTTGACTCTCGTGCTGATAAATCAAACGAACTGGCGACCTCTTGGGTTGCAAGTCCAGTGTGATGTGTCCAATCAATACACGACAGTCGCATCCCGTTCCTGCCTCTCTGTCCACGCACATCTGGCAATAGCTCACGCGTGACCCCTACCGGCCATACGAACAAAACGTGGGGATCATTCTTACCGGGTGGTCCAGATGTCCTGTGACGCGCTTTCATTTAAATCTCTATAACTTAATATGTTTTAAGTAAGATGTATTTAAAAATAACGTGAAAATTTAAAGCAAAAACAGGTTAGGGGTTAATTAATTGGGGGGTCATCTGGACCACCCTGGACTTTGGAACAAATTCATCAGCAGATTATTTTCATTGGCGGTGGTGCACGAACACAATTAACAAACCAACTCAGCGAATCTGTCAACAATACGCTCTTAAAATATAAAAATATATAGTAGGTGATGTTTCAGGCAAAGGCCCGTATACTTGACAGCGCTGATATTCTCCACAGCACAACAATTCCACTCTGTAGACTTGTACAGCATGAATAATGAAACTCTATCATGTGCAATTAATTGGTTGTTGTTCATAATAATAATTAATGAGTGTGCATCGTATGCACACTCATTTAATTTCGAGGAGTTTTGCTGCTGGTGAAAATTGTTTCTTTGTGCCTCATAAGCGATGTGCTTCGTTGCCCAAGCGCAAACCGCAGTAATCTCCGATTTGAAACGGTTTGTTTGCCTTCCTAAATGGAGCCTAAATCCACATTCGTTGCGATGTATTATTGCCGATGTGAGGATGCCATGGAAATCAGTTTTGCTTATTGCGCACCTGTTTTTTTGCCACATTTTATTCATGTGACGGATTCACGAAGCGTGTGTTCCTTAGAACATTATCCAGCTGCATTCTGTAATATCCTCCGAGCTATTTCTTCACTTGGGGAAAAGGGCGGTGGCGCAGTGGTTAGCATGCTTCACTTTGAACCGGGGGAGCCAAGTTGTATGCCCATTCACGGTTCACATCAGTGGCGAGCGATATCCAAATCGGTCCTGCGTTCCCTCCCCCACCTTCACCGGCCCACATTGACCAGCGTGATGCAGTATAGTCAAATAATCCCCATGTCTGACATGGCACGAGAAGGCTAACCTTTAAGTAGTGGAATTGTAAGAAATTGTTTACGATTTGATTACTTCCGCTGGACATTGTGCGCGTTAAAATATTCAATTGACGTGCAAGTATTTACTCGTGTTGCATTTTGTATTTATTTTATTCTTCTGTCTGTTGCAGGTTGAAAACATTGACGCTTGTCTGAGCTTCTTGGCATCCAAAGGAGTGAATATACAGGGTCTGTCTTCCGAAGGTAAACGTGCACACGAAATATATAATTCGCACACAGTGCTAGGGCATAAAATGTGATGACCAGTGAAGGTTTTTCCACAGTTTGAATATATGTGCGCTACTTCATAAAGAATTCAGGAAGTGTTTAATCCAGAACGCCAATAGTTTTTTATGTCTAGCTGAGTGATTAAAACACATTGGAAAGAATTTAAGCACTTTAACATGAAGTACTGTATATACATTCAGTTTGTTTGCCCATACTGTAAATGGTGTGTCTCTCTATTTAGCCACATAGACAAATTGATGTGTCTCAGTGGGGACACATGCCTTCTCCTTGTGAGGAATTCACACACATTTACAGAACAATACCAGGCTCAATGAGCAGCAATCTCAAGTTTACGGATGAGTGAAATCGAAAATTTAATGTTATTTACATAAAGTTCATTTTTGTAAATATAAAAACAAATACCTTTAAAACCCATAATTTTAAGGGAACAATAATTTTACTCCACTCTAACTCATTGGCATGATGAAAATGTTTCCGAGTTTGATTCCCGGCCAAGGCAAACACATCAGTGGCGAGTGGCATCCAAATTGGATCTGGTCACCCACCTTTCACCAATCCCCACTGGCCAGCATGGTGAAGTATATTAAATCAACTCCCATGACCGACATGGTAGAAGCAGGTCCTCATCCATCAGTGGACTGAAATGAGCCTGAAAATGTTCCAACTTGCAAACAATCGCTACATGGGTCGAACAACCATCACAAAATGTTGCATGTACCTCTTCATCATTACTGCAGCGTGCAACACTGGGTGTTCACCATTACTGCGTGTATCACCGAGTTATTTATATTAAGTGTCGATGCAACAGTGCAACTTTAAAGCGTACTGTATTTCCACTGTAAGCCATGACTGAAGCGTGTCTGCTCCCAGGCAGTGCGTGAACTCTCTTCCTGTGCGTGAATGGATCGGTGTGGTGTGTGCGGTATCGTATGCCTGCAACGGGATCCTTTAAGCTACCGCTTCATCGACCTTGGATGCTCTCAAGGTTTTTTCCCATGGTGCCCTTCAGACAATGAAATAAACGCTGCACTGAGTAAGGGGAGAGTGGACGGAAGGCTTGTCGCAGCTAATGGACCGTGAATGGGTTGCGGAGTGAGAAACCGTGAGAGCCATACAAGACTGCCTTATTAGTGTTAAATAAATAAATAATGCGCTCTGCTATGGCTTGCTTATCCCGCTCTAGCAGAAGGTCTCTACCAGAAGGAGGTCTGGATGGTATTTGGCAGAGGTGTGGACTCGAGTCATGTGACTTGGACTCGAGTCAGACTCGAGTCATGAATTTGATGACTTCAGACTCGACTTGGACTTGCATAACAATGACTTTGTCCCACCTCTGAGGTGTGGACTCGAGTCATGTGACTTGGACTCGAGTCAGACTCGAGTCATGAATTTGATGACTTCAGACTCGACTTGGACTTGCATAACAATGACTTTGTCCCACCTCTGAGGTGTGGACTCGAGTCATGTGACTTGGACTCGAGTCAGACTCGAGTCATGAATTTGATGACTTCAGACTCGACTTGGACTTGCATAACAATGACTTTGTCCCACCTCTGAGGTGTGGACTCGAGTCATGTGACTTGGACTCGAGTCAGACTCGAGTCATGAATTTGATGACTTCAGACTCGACTTGGACTTGCATAACAATGACTTTGTCCCACCTCTGAGGTGTGGACTCGAGTCATGTGACTTGGACTCGAGTCAGACTCGAGTCATGAATTTGATGACTTCAGACTCGACTTGGACTTGCATAACAATGACTTTGTCCCACCTCTGACTGGTGTGGACTCGAGTCATGTGACTTGGACTCGAGTCAGACTCGAGTCATGAATTTGATGACTTCAGACTCGACTTGGACTTGCATAACAATGACTTTGTCCCACCTCTGACTGGTGTGGACTCGAGTCATGTGACTTGGACTCGAGTCAGACTCGAGTCATGAATTTGATGACTTCAGACTCGACTTGGACTTGCATAACAATGACTTTGTCCCACCTCTGGTATTTGGCCTACTCTTCCACGCTGGACAGACATCTTGGAAGTGGTGGCAGTACCCACACACTGTTATCCCCTACCACAGGTGATCGGTCGTCCAACTATGAGTGCTGTACCCATTTAAACTGCCCGTTGGATAGAGGCCAGGGTGGGATTAAGAACCTTGACCCCATTGTTCCAACTGCCTCGCGCAGGAGGTGCAACTGGCGACCTGCAGGTTGCAGGCCTAGCGTGCACACCATAACGCCATGTGGCAGCATCCCTCTGACTAGTGTACATTGAATGCATAAAACACGTGGGTGTAATTTGAATAGCCCACATTTCATGTTCATCATTGATGGAGCGAAAGACGCACGTGTGCAGTTGGGGTCAGCGTTAAGGATGCAATTAAACGCCTGGCTACCAATACCAATTGGCGGTGTGACATTTTAGCGCACCGACAAGAGAAGGCTGCCTGCTGTTCATGCCCGTTAAGTGGTGCAAGTGTCTTTTAAGTTTTGTTTGTGCCAAGGCGTGCTGCAGCAGTATCTGGGTACCTCAGCGTGCACTCTGAAAGTGAATACTAATGTGAAATTGGAATGCCAGAGTAAATATGAGCAAATCCTTACTTAATGCGCAGAGCTGAAATATTGGAAAAGGAAAGCAACACACGGCCCAGATGCAGGCTGTAATTGTAACGGTACTTTAATCAACGAGTTGTCCAAATGCATGTTGTTGACTTTGTTGTGGTGTAGAGATAGTTGTTTGTTCCGCGTGATGCTGCTGCTGTCAGCTGATGGCTGTGGCACGCAAAGGGAGCATGTTTAAAAGTTACACGGATGAGATGGTTTCTGACATCCCCCCCCCCCAAAAAAATAATAGATCAACCATCAGATACATCCAGCATGCCCGGACAGGCTTTGTTAATCCAAAATAAGTCACCAATCGCAGTCGTTGGGTCGTTAACTATTAAGTCGTTAAATTGGCACCACAGGAGTGTGAGAAATGAAACCTGCAAAGGAACTGAAGACTGCAACAAAATAGTATATATATATATATTTTAAGTCAAATGCTTCGTAAGAAATATTGCTTCCATAAATATGCTGGTATAATTGTAACAAATGTGAATTATTTATGAATGGAATCAGAAGTCCGGGTGATTCATTTATAGATACCCAAATGAATTTTTTTCAGTTGAACGTTGTAAGCAAATCAGAACAGCTATATTGGACACATTTATTGGGAGAGTCTCAACCGATTTAACGAGTGTATTTCGATTGGTAGTAGACATGTTTGAATAAAAATGTCGTTTTTATGCACAATATTTCCTCTTTTAATGTTAATGGGGTATCTATAAGTGGATCGTCATGTCTATTATATTAGCCAACGAAATGGATGAGGGCGGAGATGGGGGGGGGGGACCTTCAACGAGAGTCGCAGCTCTCTTTTAAGGGCAGCAACCCAGCTTCAGCCATAATGAGCCCAGGAATGCTCGGGGTTGTGCTGGATTAACCCTTTCTCGTTCCGAGAGAGACGTCTGCAAGTCGCAGGGTGGCTGTCCCGTTCAGCGCTGAATCTTGGAACGCGCGAGTGGCTCAGCGTTCATTTTATTTGGGGAGGCGTAGCGCTGTTGTTTTTCAAGAAATTGTACTCACCGCAGAGAACTGCAGCGACATGACCACACTCTAGGATAGCTGGCGCCAAACTGTGCCGCACATGCCCTCCCGCGTGGCCTTCTTCTGATTTCGTTCCGATGACGACGTGTACAACACAAGCAAAGGAATGCACTGCCTTGGTTATCGTTACATTCACCACTGACCATGCCTTTTTTTATATCTAGACACGTATTTTTTTTAAGCAATCGCTTGCATCAGTAAAGTACTTAAAGAGCAGCCTCCGGTTACTTTTTAGCCAATTGACAATTGACTAGGTGTGAAAACGATAGCGTGCAGGTGATGTTTAGATGAATGTGATATCACTCAGCATAGAGTTTCTATCTTCAGCGGTGGTATTGCTGGACTAAGCTCCAGAAGCAGATATAATTTTGTTCTATTTTAGCCGATTGTATCTACAATTGCGTTGTATTTCTGTTCATGCTTCTCGAAGCGAATGAATGCGCTGTTGTTGTGCAATGTAAGATAAAACTCAGGAAGAGAATTCCTCCAGATATTGACGTCACAGTGTCCCTTGTTGACCTGCCACCTTCCTTTTGAAGAAAGCCAGCTCTCCCCCAGGGTATAAATGGTACAACCAACTCATTATTTTCTTGAAAGTGTTTACGGAAATTTCTCTCCGAAAGAGGTTTTATTATTTTACGAGAGCCATTTTTTGAAGGATAGATTTTGTGTTGGTCTCCCCTGTTCATCAATCAAGTTGATTTTATATAATAAAAATAAAATCTAAAAGCAAATTAAGTAAACAAAAAAGCACCCACCTCCTTCCCAAATTTACACTGACTATTCTTTACATTTTAACTGTTTTTCCTAGACTGGCTTCCTTCTTTTGTAAATTATAAAGGTGCAGGGAGCAGGTGGTACTGAGGTTAGCTGCACCACACTACTGTAAATAATACTTAGACTTAGCATAAAAAGGCAAATATAAATTGGTTTTGGGCAGCTCATTTGTCACACTCTGCCTTTAAAGTGAGCGTAGCAGAATGAAGCCATTTAACAAAAAGGATAACCCAAGATATGACCTGCAGTGTTAACTCATAAGCAATAGATTGGAACGCAACTAATGAATGAATGCACAATAAGTACGCATTGTATTTGCGTGTCCTCTCATGGCTTATATAATATGCATGGAAGCTTAGAGGTTTCCTGATTGTAGTAACAAGAAAAGTTATTCTGATAGTGATTGGTAAAAACTTTAGGCTGTATCTTATTCCTAGATGTTGTGTTAAGGGAATGTTTCAGCAAGTGCTTGATTTAATATGTGATTTATAAAGAGATGGCGCCTTGAAGTAGATGGACAAGGATTGATGGGGTTTGAGGCTATCAGCTTAAGGAGCTGGGAGTCATTTCCAAAAGTGTGCGTGGTTCTCGTCAGTGATTGAGGATGAGCTTAGCTGAGATCCTGATGAGAAATGTTATTGAAAAAAATAATGATTCTGTCCATCCAGCAGCAGTATTCATGGGTACTGCACAGTAGATCGGCAGGCCAAGTGTGGTGGGGTAAAATGTGGGTACTCCAACCTATTGCGAGACGTCTGTCCGGTCAGCTTGGAAGATTAGGCCACAGATCCTTCAGAGGGTTTCTCCAGAGCTCCCACTTTTAGTGGAAGGCAGTGGTGTGAGCAGCAAATTGCAAGGCTACATCTTTATTTGTTTTTACCTTCAAATAAATGCTTGTGAGTGTATTTTTAAACATTAACTTGGAATTGTAATCATGTGCATTTCCCAGCAGTTTGTTAATCATTGTTACTGCCAGGGGCTCACGTTGCTTTAAAAAAAAAGATGAAAAAATCTATTTCTTTTCGAGGAAAAATGAACAAAAATGGTTATGCCACAATTACCTTTTCTTATAATTGACAATTATTTGTATTTCACCAAAGGGAGATAAACATCTGTTATTATATGTAAATGTATTCATATTTACACAAATATGCTTGCTTCATGCATGGATGTGTGTTGATGTGCATCATCATTACGATGGTCAGCCATGGTCAATCGACTGTTGGATGAAGACCTTCCCCAGTTGATGCCACCTCTCACAGTCCTTCAATCTAACAATCCGCTTAGTCCCTTGCACACGAGACGATTTCATTGCTTCGTCTCCTCTTGGCTGGGCACATTTCATTCCGTGGCTACCGCACTGTCATTATACTGTTGGGCATTGATGTGTGAGAGCGTACTATTTCATTTACGAACAATGGCTAAAATATTTACATTTTGTGCGGATTGGTGAAGTGGGTGTAGTTAGGCCAGTTTCAGATATCGCTTGCCACTGATGTTAGCCATGGTCAGGAATCTAACTTGGTTCGCCAGGTTCATAGTGCAGTGCACTAATAGCTGCACTTGTGCCCGCTACTATTATTTTCAGTATGTTTTAAACCATTAAATTATAAACCTCTTAACGTCTGGGTGTATCCCTCTAATCGAGGCCCTTCTATCACCAGTTGTTTGAGAAAGCAATCGCAGGGGCTGCACCTTTATTTTTATTTTCATTAAACATAACGGAGTTACAATGAGTGAACACAATGAAGGAGCCTTGCCTTGACCGATTATCAGGACAAAAGGGGCTCTTTATTGAGTTGATGAAAAAAAGGATACAAATATATGACAATAATAGTTATGATCACGTTCAATTATATTCTACCCTGACACTATTGTCATGCTTTTCTTTTCCATCCCACATGTTTGGACAGAAATCCGGAATGGAAATCTGAAGGCCATCTTAGGTCTCTTCTTCAGCCTGTCCCGGTACAAGCAGCAGCAGCAACAGGCCCAGAAACAACAACAACAGCAACAACAACAACAGCAGCAGCAGCAGCACCAGGCGGCTCAACAAAAAGCACAACAAGACATGCAGTCCAGGTGAGAGTCATTGGCATGTAAGGGCTGCATAATGTCAAACCTTGCTTACAAACGTAGCACCTGTTATCATATTGCGATCGCCATTGGGATTGTGTGTTGTCCTCTTGGACTGTTTATTTATAATTTCCCATTGATGCATTATCATTCTCCCCTTATTTTGTGTTGAGACAACATTGTGCACATATGTATTTATTGTCATATATATACTGTACATTTGTCACGACACAAATGTTGATATATATCAGTGGCATCGGGGAGGTATTATTAGGACACCATTTGTGCATTCTGCAGCCAAATACAATATTTGGAAACTTTAAATTGCCTACTTTTTAAGTTCGATTAAAATGACTTGCTCTTTTATTTTTTGGCTGAGCTAACGTTGAGTTATAATTCCCATCTCACCTCCTGGCCATATTCACAGAAATACAATCTCAAAGCTCCAGAGTCACTGATATCACTCATAGCCAACCCAGCAGAGTAATTGGATCGTTGAGATTGCAGGCAAAGAGAGATCAGGGGCAGGGCAGAGCATCTGCTGCAAGGATAACCTGTCCCCAGGTGCACATACCCTGCAACACCTCCTGTGTGTCACTGCTAGAGGTGCCTCTACACAAGGTTAAATGTTGTTGAGTTTTTAAAAAAGTTTGCGGAAAAAAATCATTTTAAAGTTGGACAACTGTAAGTTTTAAACTCGTGTAATCGATTTGACGCTGCCTTTGCCATCGGTCATTGGAGTGAAAGAATGCCCTCGCTGCGGTGCTTGCTGGATTTTTTTTTTGTTACACGGAGAGAGCTGCTCCGGTGATGTGCACATCAATAACTTGTCCCTACCTCGGCGGCATATGACTGCCACGGGGATTTGTCATCACCTAGAGAAAACAGGTGCCTCCGTGTAACTGACTACAGCTGCATACATTCATGAATATCTTTGCACGCGTTCTTTTTTGCCATTTGTTATTCATTTATTCGATGTTATTTTCCAGTAGAATGTATTCAAGTGCGATTATTTTCATGAGCCTGCTACGTGAACATCTTGGCTTTCTCAATTATGTGTCATGATGAACGCAGGATGCTATTTCTGAAAGGAAATTGTTCAATTGTTCTGTTGCTGCAATTTCCAACCCACAGTTGATGCCAGTTCACTCGTCTTCATATCGATGACATTATGACGAAAAAATGCATCAGGGGTTGCAAACTGACAGCAAGTGTAATCATCATTTGAAATATTGCTAATGTACCAGATGTCCTCGGTGGGCGATCTTGTTGTGAGCTCCGTTGCGATGAGTGCGGTATCCAGTAGCATGCAGACACTGGGAGGATTTGTTACAACGTTTATTAAATTCTGCTATAAATAGTAGGTTTTAGGTGAGCCACATTGAAGAGGACTCTGCCTTCCCCTTTCTTGCACACGTGTGAATTGTGGAAAGGGTTAGCAACCCCTGTCTTGCGCGCATCTGAAGTATGAACGTGTGTGAGCTGTTTCCGTTGCCTTTGCTCTCTTGAGGTGCGTGAGATGCTGACTACACAGTCGGTTGTTGGTGCTGAGTGCTGTGGATTGTTTTCTGTCTCATCTGCCCTCACCATCTGCCCCTGTTTGTCTCTCTCTCTCTCTCTCTTGGTTCTCTCTCCCCTCTCCCCACAATGCAGTGCGCCAGGCAGGCACTCTGCTGTGGCCAAACATGCAGGGGCGACAGCCAGTCAGAAAAAGTCCTCTCGGTTAGCACCTGTGCTCTCTCCCTTTCCTCTCCTGTCCACCTTGCTCGTGCCACCTTGCCTCTTGAAAAGCATGCCAAAGCTTCAGTTGCTTCTTTCAGGCTGCACTGAACTCAGCCGCCAGTGTTTCGGCTTCTGCTGGAATAGCGGAAGGAAGAACACGTTTAAAAAGAAAAGAAAAATAGAGCAATAATATCACTAAATGTTCATGCTATTTAAACGGCCATCAATAAAACTTCCCCTGTCCTTGAACATTTTCTGAAATTATCGGTAAAAATGTACAGTAAAATTTCAACCAAGTAAAACAATGGCTGTTGTGAATTGCATGTTAAATGTAGCATTTAAATAGTACATGTAAATAACTGCTTAACCTTCTGCATGTTTACTTAAAATGCAAAGCATGAGAATCACCTACAAGCTGATGAATGGTTAATGCTTAATCCGAGCATGCGTCATGGTTAAACCGAAGGTCATGGCAAGCAGTGCTGCGGTGGAAGCCATTGCATAGGAAACTTAGAACATTTGGATGCTCCAAAAGTACTATACCTTTTGAAACATTTGGAAATTTGAAAAACTAAAACTGTTAATTTTAATTTGTGATTTGAATTTATAATTATGAATGGCTGGAGTAGACGGGGTGACATATGCAGATCTACTTCGGCTTTTCCAACAACATGATGCACGTTACCGTTGTGTAAACGTAGAACTGTTTTGGCATTTTCCTGGTGCTGTGAACATGAACATACTAAATGCACCATGGAGTAATGAGCTGGTAAGTGAACACTTTATTGCGTTATTGAGAATATGGCCAAGCTTGGGCATGTCTTCTGTAGTTTGAGTTAATCATGCACCTTTGGCTTGCACGATTATCGAGCAAAATGTAGACAGGGAGCTTGTGGGTATTCTGAAATCCTTCTAGCAACACGCAAAGTGTTTGAGAATGTTGAATGCTATAAGCATGCATTGCCTGCTTTTTGCATGTGAAAAAAATATATACTGTTTACTCACTAAAATAAGTATACGAATGTGCCTAAATTTTTGTCTTTGTTATTATAATATGTTTATGAGTATTGGACCACCTCGGTCAACGCTTACAGTATGTATTGAATTGTGCTGTATGCTGCCATCGTAAACACTGAATTCATTCACGTACAATTTGAGATGATAAAAAAAACACTGGTTCATGTTTTTCCATGATGTATTACATTGCTAAGTTAGGTCAAAGGTTTACCATTCGCAAAAATGTAGAAGGAATTCTTAAATATACTCGAAACATTTTTTACATTCTTGCTCCGGTGAATACATTTGACTTTCTTTGCGTTGTGTGTGCGTGTGTGCGCGTTTGCATATGGGTAAAATCTGAGTAATGTTTTTATTTTCACGAACATTACTACTAAAATTAGATTGTATTGCATTTAATAACGAAGGTATAAAAGAGACCTGTCAATTTATCAGTTAAAAGCGAATGCTTGCGTAAAGGGGGCCTCTCTCGCTAGAGGGGGCTCTAGAGAGGCCCCGAGCGGGTATACGGCCTACCCTACCCTTCCACGCAGGGTGATGAACAATTACCCATTAGCAAGGGTGATGAACGATCACGGTGATGCATGTGAACGTTTTTTTTTGCTTGCGCTGAGTGTCTGGGTCCTGCAGTTGGGATTTTGGCATAGCTGCACTCTGCAAACCTTCAATGCAGCCTCGTGGTGGTGGCAAAATCAGATTATTCTAATCCTGTTTGTGGGTATAACACTGCTCAGACCTCGGGCTTAGGGACCTCTTAACTGTTAGAGTGGCTAAAAGAGGAAACAATGTGATTGGATTCTTACAAGCAGTAAATCTTAGAGGCCTGAGGGTCATTTCCTTGATCCTATGATCTATATAGGTCTTGTTTTATTGGATTTGTTGAATATAATTTATTGAGTGACAGAAAATCTTTTTATTTCACACGCCAAAATAATTGTTTCATGTTTTTTTCCCCCATTTGTTGGACTGCATGCATCCATTAAACTGTAAAAATTGTAGAATTACGTGTTTTAATGTAATTCATCGTGTTTTTAAGTATAAAACAAAATTTGGAAATAAGCATTTTCCTTCACTCAGTGAGACACTGTTAAGTAATGCCTACCTCTGAAAAGGTAAAATTAAACTTCCTGAGCTCGATATACAATGTATATATATATTTATGATGCTCCTGATCAGAGATTTAGTCCCAGCACTGTGACCAACTCTGAGTGTCTGGCCTGCACCGCACTTGACCCTGGAGCTTGTTAGGAAAATGAACTGGTCCGCTAACCTTTTTATCGAGTACTTATGATAATAAAGCTGAGAATTTCTTTTCAAATCAATCAACAGTGGGAGGACGGGTCGTTGTTAGTGTCCACGCTGAAAATATAATGTTGGGAAAAGGCTTTTGCGCAAAACGAATTGTGTGCCACGCCAGAGCGATGAACTGTCGATGGAGCAGGAAGCTCCATCATTAGAAAATCCCCAATGAAGCAGTTATCTTAGATTGGATAGGGGAAGTCTCAGCTATTAACCCTTAACCTGGCTTTGTCAACCCAATAAAAAAACACCCCTAATGACGCTATCGTTGATTAATTTGAAGCTAATAGCCACTGGGAAAGTGTGTCGTTAATAATTTTAATATCTTTTTGCAGATTTGGTTCTAATATTTTATTTTACTCATGCTTCATGACGGTGGTTCGAGCCAAAATAAATTTTCCACTTTTTTAAGTAGTCCATAACTATGGTAATTGATTCGGTAATTTCCATGCAAATATGACAATTCCATCTTATTTTAATGTTTTTGTTCTGCTTCAACTTGTGAACTAGAGGGGAGAACCCACTCCAAGGGTGTTGAACGGATGCCATCTCCCAAACTAGAATCCATGGTCTGTCAAGAAATCTGCATGGGCAGATTCAACAAAAGCACTGAAAAGGCAGCAATTAACTCATTTGTATTCTGGATTGATGGAGGTCCCACATTAACAGCAGATACTCTATTTGAAGGAGTGTTTTTCTTCTTCTCATTTTAATATTAATTAGTGAGTTGGACTGAAGCTATTAAATGCATTGTTCATTTCTCACTTGTCTATTCTGGGGGCCTGACCCCCAGATCATAGAATTGCTGTGCCAGCACACTGACATGGTATGTTTGACCCCTAGCGCTCCTGAAGGATTTGGGTTACATCATATAAAGATTATAAGCCTTACAAAATAAATATTACATAACTATTATGACTGAAATAAAATAACATAAATCGACTAAAACTGGAACACTGATTATGCATGCCTAAGTGCATATGTGGAATAATAATAAAGAGAGTAACATATACAATAGTTACATTCAACATATGATCCTATCCTTGACTCTATTATCCGTTGGAGCTTTTGGATTATATTATCTGTCCGCCTAATCCTATTATCTGTGATTATCCACTTAATTTTTCTCAGAAAAGTGGTGTCAATTTGCGGATGACAGCACAGATAATAAGATCCGTGATGCTCGCCCCGCTCACATCACCGCGACAGGATAAGAGGACTTCTCTTCACTTCTTTGCCCACCGTTTTGAAGGAAACATGTTTACAAGTGTCACTATGCCGATACAAAATTGCTTCCAACAACCCTTTCTTTTTTTCTTCTTGGTTCTTTCGGTAAAGTCACGTAGTCGTGAGAATTGTGTTTTATTTTTATTATTTTATTACTTCCCTTCTACGTGACTTTACCGAAAGAACCAAGAAGATGAATCCCTGCAGTCACGAAAGCTTTAAATCGAAATTTAACCCTTTCTTTGTTTTAGCAAATTATACCAAACATGGCCCTACTGTAGTAATGTGCTTGAACGAAATCCAAGGCAAAACGACAATTATCTGTTACTATCAATATCATTTTCCCCTGTGACTTGATTATCAACGTGCGTTAAACAAGTCGTTATCACCTCGTACGTGTCAGTTGAGCTTTCTGGTCGAGAGTAGTTCCCCATTGGTGCCTGCAGGTTGGCTAATAAGGAACGCTACAAACCCAAGCACTCTCACCTTCTCAAGGGCAATTTCCCCTGTCTGCAGAAACATGCGCCTGCCTTGATTATAACCAGTGTCTGAGTCTCGTGATTAACCAACATTGCATCGATGGTTAATCGTGTAGGCGTCGTTCACGAGAGAAGTTGATGTGTGCTACAAAAATGTACGTATCGATGGCATATGTACGTCTGTACATAGGTCTCTTTTTAATCGTGTATTGATCATCTTTGCCTTTGATTAAAGCACGAGAATATACCCAATATTGTCAAATCTTAGGAAAGCTAAGCAGGTCGGAGCCTGGATGGGCGATCATCATGAATATCAGGTATTATAGGTTGCGGGGCTACATGGTCGGTAGCAGAGGGTAGTGCAGCACAATCCTTTGTTGCACTGTACTTATTCCGTATATATATGCTCCTCTCTTTTGGAAAAGTGGATTGACAGGTGTGGCGAAGTATGGATAAATAACCCCCACAATCCGCACGGTGTTGGGAGACCTCATCCAGCTTTGGATTGACACAAAGATTTATATACGTACATCACGTGTGTATAGCAATATTTGACCTTTTCTAAAATGTATTTGTATGAAACAAATTAGTTTGGTACTTTTAATGCCTCATGTAATGTTTTTTTTACCATAGTTACAGTTAACTGCGATCAAATTTTCTTCCCGAACTGCTAATCCTGTAACGGAAAACAGGATGTTATAAACGATGGTATCAGTGGAGGTGCAAGGCATAAGCAAACTTATAAGCAAAAGCTTAGGGTTCTAAGTAGCTCAGTGTCCCCCGAATTCATGGACGCACAAAATATCAGCTCAAATTCAGATCTTAACGAACATACGTAGTCAATCGACATAATATTAATTTATCTAATTTCTGTCTTGCATGGAGCTCTCTTCTTTCATTTGGCTGTTCTAAATGTCCACGTGATAAGCCACTTCGTTGAGCTATCATTTGTGGCCAGGTCACTTCTGAAAAAGAGCTACATAGTTCAGTGAGCCTTACCTGGTAAAATAAAATATTGTTTATATCTGTGTCCCTTATCAACATCTCTCTCATTTTACTACAATTTTTTCTCACCTGTATCTCTCCCCTCATCTCCATTAATAATACCTCTAGCTTTTGTCCATATTTCTATAATTTCGTTGCATCCGTATCTCTTGCCTATATCTCTTCCATCATCTCATTAGGAGTTTATGAAATGGAAAGGTGGTGGACAGGCTCCAAAAATTGTTGATGCTTTTGGCCCCTAATTGGGATTTGTTTTTTTGTGAGCCTTGAGATGCTGCCTGCTGAGATTCCCTTGGGTATCAATGTGCACTGAGCACAATGTGGTGAAATGTGGCCAAGTCTGCCATCTTGTGGCAACGAGTTTAAGGCCCAAGAAGAACGATAGAGAGCAC